TTGGTGGCACTCGGGGCTACTGGGATGGGAGCGGAGGCCACCAGAGCCACGCCTGGGGTGGCTCCGCCGGTGTCCCCAAGATGTCCCCAAGATGTCCCCAAGACGTGCCCGTGTCCCCAGACCCGGGGGTGCTGCGGGGGGTCCTGGAGGGTCACGGGGACGCCGTGTGGGGCCTGGCCTTCGATGTCACCGGGCGTCACCTGGCCTCGTGCTCGGCCGATGGCACCGTGCGCCTCTGGGACCCCCGAGGGGACGGCAGCCGCGGTGGCACCTGCCTGAGCGTCCTGGACGGGCACAAAGGTGAGAGCTGGGGACACCTGGGACAGCTGGGGACACCTGGGGACATTGGGGACACACCTGGGGACACCTGGGGACACCTGGGACACCTGGGGACACTGGGGACACACCTGGGGACATTGGGGACACACCTGGGGACAGCTGGGGACACCTGGGACACACCTGGACATACTGGGGTGCATCTGGGGACATCTGGACATGTTGGGGACACACCTGGGCACACTGGGGACATTGGGGACACACCTGGGGACACCTGGACACATTGGGGGGACACCTGGGGACAGCTGGGGACACACCTGGACACACTGGGGACATTTGGGACACACCTGGGGATACCTGGGGACACCTGAGACACCTGGGACACACCTGGGGACACCTGAGGGACACCTGGGGACACAGCCATCACACCTGGGGACACCTGGGGACACTTGGGGACACACCCAGACACACTGGGGACACCTGGGGACAGCTGGGGACACACCTGTACACACTGGGGACACCTGGGCCACACCTGGGGACACACCTGTCCTGTTGGGTGCCACACCTGTCCCCTCACCTGTTGTCCCCTCAGATCACGGTGTCCCCACCTCGGTGACGTTCGTGGCCACCCAGCCGGCCCAGCTGGTGGCCGGCTTCCGCTCGGGTGCCACCGTCCTCTACGACCTCGAGGCCACCAAGGCCACCCTGGTGTCCCCAAACGGCGGTGAGTGACCCCCCCTTGCTGTCCCCAGGGTCACCTGGGGTCACCTGGGGACACCTGAACCCTCCCTGGGGACACCTGAACCCCCCAAATGTCACCTGGGGTCACCTGGGGACACCTGAACCTCCCCTGGGGACACCTGAACCCCCCAAATGTCACCTGGGGACACCTGGGGACACCTGAACCTTTTCCAGTGTCCCCAAGGGTCACCTGGGGACACCTGGGGTCACCTGAACCCCCCTACAGAATGTCCCCAAGGGTCCCTGAATGTCCACAAGGTGTCCCTAAATGTCCCCAAGGGTCCCCAACCAAATGTCCCCAAATGTCCCTGAGTGTCCCCGAGTGTCCCCAACCAAGTGTCCCC